TCTGCCAGCGTTACTCACATTGGGTAGTACCTTACTGCTGCATGGATTCCCATTGATTTCAATGGACCTACAGCCAGGATGAGTAAATGTAGCTCTTTGTAAATGTAGCTGCGAGTGTCTGGCTAAATGATTTACAGCTCATAGTTCACTCATTATTTTGCTTATCCTTAAATTAGTTTTCCTGCTCTGTAGTTCTGAGGAAGTGACAGGAGGCAGCAATGTAATAGTGTGGTTTTAATCTCTAAATGTTGCCACACCGATTATTACAGCTAGGAATGGAGTGTTTATGACCCAGCCTGTTCTGTCTGTGAGGCTGGTCTCTTGCTTCCCTAAATATTCCTGCCTCAGAACATAGCGAGCTGTAGGATGTTTGCCTGGTAAAGCAGAACAGTTGAGAAACATGCAAAGAGGGTTTTTTGGGAATCTAAACAGGCTGGCAAAGAAATCGCTCCAGGGCAGAATCCTTGGAGGATGATTTTGTACTTAGGAACTACTGGGTAGTTGTTTGTTTTAAGCAGTGCTGCAGTCGCAAACAAGCCAAACACAATAGCACTGAGGACTTAAAGAATGGATAAAGGAAAAGCAAACTTTCAGGTCTATTTAAGGTCCCCAGGATGGCCCCCTTTCCACAGGATCTGAGCACTTCAAGTCTTTAATGTATTTATCCTCACAAGAGCCCAGTGTGATAGGGCAATGCTATTTTGCCCATTTTACAGATGGGGAACTATGGCACAGAGTGACTTACACAAGGTCACACAGGGAGTCTGTGACAGAGCAGGGAATTGAAGCCCTGGCTTCTGGAGTCCCATGCTAGCTCCCTCTGGCCTCATTTGATTTAGGAAACTATCCACTTACTTGGCATCTCATTCCCAGGAAGTGCAGAGGATGTACACTCCTCACAAGATGGTACTCTAGCTTTGGGGGCATAAACAGTTTGACACTAGCCCTTTTTAAATTAAAATATCAATAACAGTAAACACTAAACCCTAAAATGTCTGTCTCTTCTAGCTCTTCCCTCTCCCCCACTCTTATACAGATCTTTATTCCTTTTCCTTCCTACCCCAACTCCATTTTAGTTTTTGTCTCTCTTTTCCCTGTGGTGTTCTCTCACAAGCTTATCTGCCTTTCTTCAGACTCCTTTTCATAGGCTTTGAAGAAGTGGGGGAGCAGAGACTTCCCTTTCTACTGACTGGAGCTGCATCTCATTTCTTCTAATTGTTGGTTTCCTTTCTCCACTCCCCCATGCATCTCCCCCTCCCCTGGGCAGGAGGGAATTTCCTCCTTCCCTTTTATGTCTCCATTCCCCCTCCTTGAGGCTGCTGGGTGGAAGGGGGCTACCCTCCCTCCCAGCTTCTGGGTTGAAGGGTAGTTTTTCTCCAAGATGGGAGGGGTTGTTTTCTGCCTCCCTCATCGCTGTGGGAAGAGACATTTCCTCTCTTTTTTCTCTTCACCACAGACAGGGTTGTATCTGCAGGTCCTGCCCCTGCCCCCACCCTTATCTGCCCCACACCTTGACTGGGAAAACTGAAAGTATGGACATGACATTAAAAGCTCTAGGCAAACCAGTTCACAGCGACAGTACATGGCGCTGAAACCGATCTCTCACACACTGCATGTATGAAACACCAACATGTAAGATGTCTGAGAAACTCAAGCATGGGGGGACTCCCCTTGGCTTACTCTGCTCCTGTCCTGCCACATAAGAGCTCATTCCTCACGTAAAACCCCAAACCAGCCTCCTAAGCAAAAAGTCAAGATTCTCTTACCATTTCCTTCAGCTTGCAGGAGACCTCCTAGGGAAGTGGAAAGCAGTATGAGGAGCAACTGGCCAGCCATGACACTCATCTGTAGAAAACAGTTTTCTCTCTCTCCCCCCACACTGCAGGGTTGTCACTGACCAAGGTTTAATCAGTACCAGACTTCCTGTTATGTGCTTTACTGTGCTGTACTTCTTATCACAACAAATAGTGTTTATGCATCTTTGGACGTGGATTGTCCAACTCAACGTGCTGATTGGATGGTTGGGCCTTTCTTGGCAATGTCAGAGACAGAACTGAATTAGAGAAATCTGGAGCCCTAATAACCCCAGGAAAAATAAAATGTTCTTCTGCTTACCTCTGGCCCTGACATACAGGAAGCTGACTGTATTTATGGGAATAATCACCTATAGATTTCCATGCAAGGAACACTAAAGGGAAGGAAGTCCTCCCCAAAGCACTTTTCTACGAAATGTTGCATTTTGAATCTAAATTGAAAACATGTCCTGCAGGGTCTTAGCAGTGTTTGTTGCAGGGTGCTCATTCACTAATTAACATGTTAATTATTCCAAAGTATGTGCACAAAAGCCTCGGATCCGTGTGAGCTGTTGCATTTCTATTGGTTAGACGGGGGTCTGAGTACAGACTGAAGAGGAAACGCTGTTGCAACTAATTCTCTAATCTGCATGTCTGCTTAATTATATGCTCTGGAGAGAGTTATGCAGAAAAAGAGCTGGGGATGCTGAAGTAGATGAGTTTTTAGAAGCTGGCTATTTTAATCAGAAAACTTCTTGGAAACCTTTTGTGTGTGTAATAAAAGCTAAATATTTTTGAAAGAAATCTAATCGAGTGCTTTGTAATTTTTCAGTACAATAAGACAAAGCTTTTATAGATAGGCTATTTATAGCCTAGAGATGGAAAGGATCTATTAGTAAGCAAACTGAATAAAAATGACCGGGATGGCAACAATATAGCCATATTTGGCTATCTGAATAAGGCTGAATATTTACAGCTAATATTCATGATTAGATGGTTTTGTTTAATAGGCCACTGTTGTCATCTATACTAGCTGCAAGAGGTGTGCAGAGCTAGATTTGTCTACATTGGGTCCAATGCTCCCATTGCCTGGACCATTTGGCAGGAGATAAAAGTGCCCCCTCCCTTCTCTTGGTCCAGTGGGGAGGAAGGTTGAAGAGCTCAGTAATTCCCTGACTCCTGTGGAGTCTAGAAATTGACCCCGTTCTGAATCAGACCCTGAGGTGTCCACCCAGTTACCTTTAGTAGTTTTCAGTTGCTTTCTACACCCTTCTCTTCCAACATCTTCAGGGTGAAGGACTGGACCCAGCTGACCCATTTTCAACAACTTCAGTATTTGGGGCCAGGGGAGTAGCAGGTAGACCTGTTGCCCCATCCCCCAGTCCAGGAAAGGATCTTTTAAAGAGGAGCCCTTCCTTCTGTTCTCCAGCATCAGGAGTGGAAGTGCTATAGATCCCCCAGAGTTTGTTGGTCCTCAAGGAAATCCCTACTCTTGGCTGTGCAGGATTGTTTCTTATGCTTCCTCACTTATTTTCTATACTTTTATCCGGTCAAGTTTTAAATATCACAAGGGATGGGGTTTCCACTACATACTTTGGGGACTATTTCTCAATTAAACAAATCCCACTGTCAGGAAATTTGTCAGGATATTTTGCCTCAATCTTCCTTTTTATATTTTCACCCCATTGCACCTAGGTAGCACCCCATTAAACAATTGCTTCCTTTGAGTTCACACCTTTGATACCTTTCACACTCTGCCTCAATCATTTATTTAGCCAAGATACACATTAAAATTGTAGTTAAAATGTCCTTTGTAAAGCCGTCCATCTAGCCCCCTTGTCATTTTGCTTGTTTTTTTCTGAATACACTCCGGTTTGTCAGTATCTTTCTGTAAATGAGCGGGCCAGAAGTTAACATAACATTCACAATGGAGCCCTACATAGAGGAACTATTAACTCTCTGCTCCAAGACGTCCTGTCTCAAGAATCTCGAAATGAACTGGATTGTTGTTTTTTTAACTGCCTCATTGCAAAGTTATGCTTTATTTGCTGGTCACTATAACCTATAGGCCTGTTCTGCATTATTACTTTCCAGATTTCTCACCTACCACTAAATATCTGTGATCTGGATTATCTTTTCCTCCAGATATATTAGTTTTCATTTTTCCAAGATGGATATTCCTTCATTATTTTCTTCCATTTTAAAAAATCTCTCTAGGTCCCTTTACATTATTATCTCTTCGTCCTTACTGGAATTTGCTGCTTTCCCCAATTCAATGGCATCTGCAGTTTTGAATATGATCGGTATACTGTATCATTAATGAAGATGTTAAATAAAATGAGACCCAACATAGTATGGATCTCTGCAGAACCCCCCTAAATATCTTCCCATCTCAGTGAATTACCATGTTTCATTAATTTACTGTTCTTCAGCCAGTCCCTATGACAGTGCTGCTATTCAGACTGATTTGAATTAATTTGGAGAGTAAATTATTTTCTAAAATTCTGATCTATTATATCTACCTTTCTCCCTTAATATATTATGTTGCCTTCATAATGACATTTGGAGACATATTTTCAAAGAAACCACAGTGCAGCCTCTCATTGTGCATTCACAATTTTTCATATACTATCAATTGCACGTGAAAACAATTATTGGCACATGCAACCAGCAATAGCCTGTGCTATGCAGGAGGTCAGAACATAGTTCTGTCCTTAAAATGTATCATTCTACACACACGAATGACAAAAGCCACAGTTTGAACACTGTTGCTGTACGGGGCTGCATAATAAGTATTCCAATTCCCTTTGTTCTCATAATGTAATAATGTTATACCAGAGCAAAGTTACCTTAAAGTCAGATGTACCAGTCACAAATATGGGTCAATATTATAATTGTTAGCAATATTACTTTATTATTTGATGTAAGAAAAATGAAACTAAGCCCTCAGTAAAGACTTAGAAACCTGGAAGGAATCTTTTCCCGTTTCTTTGGTTCTGGAGTCTTAGGACAGATCACTCATATGAAGATTTGACTTTTGCATTTGCAACTGTGATGTAAGGTAATGTTATGGAAATATAATTTATAAATGTTACAACCTTCAAAAAGGTTGCTGCAGAGTAATTCCTCTTTTAAAATAATGTACAAACAATGCAGCCAGGTGAATGAGTAATGTGACTGAACAGGAAAGATATTGGTTTCAAATCATTATGTAAGTGTGTGGGTAATTTATTTAAGATCCGGAAAAATGCTAAACAGGGAAGCGTCCCAGGTGGGACTCAAAAAGACAACTCTGCAGTTTGGAAACGTTCTGCCCAGAGGAAGCCTGGCAGTTTATGAATCCATGTGATTGTTTAACCATTCGAGATATTTAGACACCCTTGTATAAACCCCGTAAGTGCCTTTGGTAGCACACCCCTTCCCCCAGCTGACAATCCCTGTCAGAAACCAGGTGGTGTTGTACTTTGTGGCATGAGGTCCGCCGCTGTCCCCTTTGCAGGAGTCTTTAGTCCCACTGAGGTCTCCTGCACAGAACATGTTCTCTGTAATAGTTAAGTTGGCCTCATGTATACACTCTTGTGTCTTTACACGTGGAACATCAACTCTCATAAGAACTGCAGCAGTGGCACCTCCTTCTATTAGACGCCCCCATCCACTCACTGTGGAGAACCTAATGGAGGACAGCTCAGACATTGCAAACTGTTTCTCGGGCAAACATATCGGTACCACATAATCACTGAAGTTAACAGGCGCCTCCAGGCGCAGCAAGGCAATGTCATGGTCAGTTGTTTGTGGAATATATTTTTCATGAATTATGATTTCAGAAACCTTCCTTTCTTGCTCCCCTTCATCCTCATGATCTATTGTGTGTTCACCTAGAAAAGGAATTAAACCCGTCAGGTTCACATAAATAGTAAGCTCCTTAACTCCACACAGCTCTTATGGAAAGATATCACTAAACTGACATTTCTTTTCTTCTTACTACATTTCCACGGCCACTACTGAATCCTGCATTGTTCATTCTTTTCTGTGGTTCAGCAGAGACAGTACTTGTTTCTCCTAGAGCCTCTTCCTTCATTCCAGCTTTCTCCCTTGACAGAAGACGTGGAATAGGGTTCAGTGACAGAATTACAGCAGAAGCAAGCAGAGTAAGGGTGCAGCTTCAAGAGGGCCTATTACTGCATTAGAACTATCCAGCTTGGTTGTTCCAGGACTAAATTCTAGCACAGAAAAGACTAGACTAGGTTCCATGACAAGGTTATATCTATAACCTAAGAACCAGACACTGGGAGCCAAATTCATCCTGAGTGTAACTCCACTGGCATCTGCATTTCCCAGCAGTGGGAGAGAAGTAATCAGAGTACCACCTCCACAGCATGTACCCCACTTTCCCCCACACCCTGAAGGATCCATGGGCCAATGAGGGAGTGGGTCAAGAACGGGAGGGACTGAGGGGTTGACGCTGATTGTCCATGGAGAAAACCTTTCCTCTACCACTCCTTGACCGCAGAGTTCCTCCTGGAGTCATGCTGCTAACTGGCCCTGACTGCCACTGCCCCCAAACCCTTCTCAAGGCTGGGTTCCAGGATGCAGAGGCAGACGCCATTCACACCTTTGCACTCTGCACTGTAATTAATCTGTTCACCCATCCCCATTACAATGGGGGTAATTCAGCAACTTTGATCCCAACCGTAGAATTGTCATTTTGTAAAACTTCTGGTTTTTGAGACTTGCATTATGGCCGAGAGGACATTTAGGAATCGCTAACTGCTCCTGTTGTAAGCAAGCAGATGGCCATTGTATTTGTAATCAGTTTTTGACAGATATTGGTTGTATTTAACCCTTCCAAATGTTTGCAGAGTCACACCATGTAAATATGGCATAACTCCACTGACTTGGGAGGAATCACTCTGGATTTACCCAAGCGAAGCTGACAACAAATTTTGGGCCACAAAGTTTGAAAAAGTGAGACAAGTGAAAGACGTACCCAGTTTTACTCGGAGCTGTTTGGGATGTGTGTTCTCTAAGCAGTGAGCGGCAGTAACCACCCAGCTCGGTCCCACCAGGGAACCCCCACACTTTGGTTTCTCATTCTCTATTAGCAGAGCCTGAAATATGCAAAAGAAACTTTTATGTTACACCAATTTGTTTGACCTGAAATTCTATAGAATTTACTGAGAACATTCATCTTACTTAGCCTGCAAGGACCATGTGTAGTCATCATTTTCCTAACTGCTGATTGGTGAAGTTACCATTTGATCTTCGAGGCAGGGACTAATGTGCATAGCCCAGGGGGATCTAGGTTTTTAGACTAATCATTTTAGTAACTCAGGCTTAAAGTAATTCAGGGGGTACCGGAACTAGGCATCCAACTTCTGTTGAAAGTCAATAGGAGTTGAGCACTTAACTCCCTTAGGGCTCTTTGAAAATCCCAGCCTCAGATGCAAACACATTTATAAGCAGGGCTGTAAATGCTCATGCTGAGTAGCTCCTTAATCTACAAGCAAAAGTATCATGTCAAGACTACTCATGGAAGAAGGGACTCAGCGAGAGTAAAGGTGTCAGCATCTGAGATCTTGGCAATGTTTGTATGTCTTGTGCTTTGCCTTTTCGGAATTTAAATCTTTCACAGGAATGTGTTTGGATCTAAATTACGAAAATTATTAGTCCTGAAATAAAGGGTTTTATTGTCCTAGTTGCTGAAAGAGAAACTTCGTGCCTGGCTCCAAAGTAGACAATTGACAACTTGGGTACTCTACACACAGAATTTAGCATCCGAAGAAGTGGGCTGTAGTCCACGAAAGCTTATGCTCTAATAAATTTGTTAGTCTCTAAGGTGCCACAAGTACTCCTGTTCTTCTTTTTTTGGGTTAGAGTTTTGTCATTGCTACTCTCTCTCTCTCTCTCTCTTATTTTATTCCCTCATGCTTGAACACACCATTCGCATGGAAAGTGTGAGGGGAAAAAAATCTTCCATGGGACAATTTTGCTCGCATATGTTATTGATTCTGCCTATTTTGCCCAAGAGTTCACATCCCAGTAACTACAGCCGACAGGCTTGTGGGCAATCTCAGCAATAAGGCCAAGGACTGGATGGGCAGGACATGGAGGAGGCTGAATTGCCATTTCATGCCTGGAAAAGCTGTCACTGCAGCAGAGGGTGGCAGTGGGTGGGGAGCTTGCATTACCTTTAGCTGTGCCCTAACTGTTCTGCGGCTGAACAGAGGGGTTTGTTATCCAGCACTGTCCATCCAGCACCTTTCCCAAGGACTCAGTTGATGACAAAAAATGAAATAGAAGACTCACCTGCCACGGACATTCACCTGGAGGACAGACATAACCACCTACAATTCTCCCCCGCTGAGTTGTGTTTTGCTTTGCCAAAACAGGTATTTTCCCACATGGGTAATCCACTGTGAAAAATAACAAATACATCACAGTAGTAAGTGTGATTAAATACAATGAAATCCACTGGGAAACACACAGGGCCACATTCTCTGCTAGGGTTACTCCAGAAAACTCCCTCTATGAGACATGTCAGCAGAGAATTCAGCCAATAGTCTAGTGGTGTTGCTAATCACAGCATATTTTAAATCACCCAGTGAGTAAATGCTTTTTTCTGACTGGACACTGCCCACAAGTGGTATTACCTTACAACATAGACCCATTGGTTAAGAAGTTGCACTCAGGTACCACAGGAGGCTCAGAAAAAGGCATCGATATCGTGTGTTTGGTGCCCCTTTAATTCCTCCAGGGTTTTCATGATGATCTTTTAAAGCGGGCAGGACAAGGGGCTCTCTTTGAATCCTCCATGACACCTGATCTGCTGCTACTAAACTTCCTGTCCCTCCCTGCTCCAAAACTGCTGACCTCCTGAGGTGCACACGGAGAGGTCCTGTCTCCTGTCCACTTAGGTAGCAAGGCCCTATGTTCTCTGTGACAAGTGGCATCTAAAACCTGCAGGATTCTGCAGCACTCTGAGGATGAAATCCTGACCCCACTGAAGTCAATTCTGGCCCCTGAAGCAGCAGACAGGAAATTCCATGACAGACTCAGGTAAATTAGGTTGTTAGTGAATTAAATAGGAATATAAATAACACAATTAGTATCTCATTGATTTATTTGAACATTAAATTCAATATAATTTATGTTGCCCCCAAATGATCAGTGTTGTCACAGTCCCTGGGTAGGCTGACCCAGCTGAGACCTTTTTCCAGTCCCCCTAGTGTACCGCTTTCCACTGGCACAGCCAGGTTTTGCAGCTAGGGTGGGGCATACGTCATTGGTGTTGCCACCTTCAGCTATGCCTGGTGGCTTGCTAATTTCACACATTATCATGCCTGCTACACGCTCTGCCCCTGAACTGCAACCATAAACCCGGCTCAAAGCAGAAGGGAGGCCACAGGGGACGGTGTGGGGAGGAGGCTGGAGAGCAAGGCCGCACTGCACTCACCCCGCAGTGATGGGTCCTGGCCCATGGGGTGGGGGCCCAGTTCCTCACTATGGGTGTTACAACCTGGCATACAGGGTCACAGCGCCATTCGGGTTTGGCCCAGCCACCCCTCCAACATGATGGAGGGGCAGCCAGGATAAATGTGAGTGAGTGGTGCTGTGACATGGTGTATGGGGTCACCACACTATGTAACCCTTTGTGCCATGTTGCAATGCCCAGAGCAGAGAGCCAGGCCCAGCCTTGCAGCACAGGAGCTGCTACTGACAGGTGGGTGTGAGGTGGGCTCATTCTCCAGCCGCATATGAAAATTTGGGTCATACACTTCTTTTTGTCAAGTGCATAATATGCTTGAAAAGGAGCCACACTTACACACACCAAAAGGCAGCCGGGGGATGGGTGGGGGGGGAAGAGATGTTCCCTTCCTCCCACTAGTAGCTTCATCACTTCCCCTCCACTTCTCTTTGGGGTGAGACTCCACAATCCAATCACTCCCTGACTGGGTTTCCAGGTGGCACCCCTCTGGTTGCCAACCTTGACACCTAGCACATCCTATGGGCTTGGCATCTGCACGAGTTTCCCTTTGGGCACCTGTAAGTAGGGCCACAGAAGCAGCTTCCCCAAAAGAAGTAGGATTTATTTTGCCCATAGGTGCACAGTACTCAGAAAAATGGATTTACAACAACGGAGGCATACACCCCAACTGTCTCACTTATACTTGGCCTTCCCCTCAAGGCTGTAAGTAGACATGAGTCAGCCACGGTGCTCCCCATTGTATTTGGGGACTGTGTTACAGCATGCCTGCTGCAGATCCCTGACTCTCAGTCTGCCTGCGTCTTCTTGCAGCACCTGACAGCCCTTTCTCCCCCTCCCTTTCTGTAGGGTAGCTCTGTTAACAGATTGGTGTCTTCTGATCTCTAGATTCTCAGCCTTTGTAAAACATCTCTGTAGCCAGGATAGGCCATAAACCTGGCTCCTGTATTTGAGTGTTTTCTGGGGTGCATCTTCTAGGCCATTGTTTTACCTTTCCTGCCTCCTTCCTTTAACAACCCCTTTTCATCTAACTCTAATCATTCAGGCAGGGTAATGTCACCAAGGCCTCATTTACACAGCAATTAAACACTTGGGGCTGGTCCAGGTCAGCTGACTCAGACTCACTGGGGATCAGGCTGCTGGGCTATACAATTGCTGTGGAGTTGTTCGGGTTTGGGCTGCAGCTGAGGCTCTGGGACTTCAGCCCTAGCCTGAGGCTACATCATATAGCCAGAGCCGCCCCCGAGTCAGCTGATCCAGGCCAGCCGCAGTTGTTTAACTGCAATCCAGACATACCCTCAGATATACTGAGGGGCATATGAAGTTTATAAACAATAAAATGTGATGCGGATTTTGGTATTAAAAATGCATAATGGCATTGTAGAAGTTGTCAGAGGGAGCTGGAGGGTCTGACATCTGGGTAGGAACTTTTGCTACATGGGAAGGCAAGGAAGGCGGTCTTGATTTTATGGAATCAAGGAGACAACTGATGATTTGATCACTGAGGAAGGGAAACATTTTATTTTCTTCCCCATTTTGGCTGGGTCAGAGGTTTGTGGTGAGTCTGGAATTCCTTGGTCCTCATCCCACCAACCCTAAACAGAAACCAACCGCCCCACTCCAATACCTGCTGCAACCGCCAAGAATGGAGAAGCACGTTATTGGATTGATGTTTCTTAGTGAAATCATTTCCAATGTTGACACCCCAATTGTTCAATTGTTACCATTCAGTGTCAACACCCCGGTGAGATGAATGGGAGTAAGTCACTCCTCTCAGAACTACTGGTCCAGGCATTCTGTAGCCTCACGCGTGCACCACTGCAGCCGTTTACACTCAGTTCACGCTCTAAAGGTTTCCATTGCAGTCGTAATTGCTACAGGGGGAAATTTACCAACGCATAAAGGGCAGCTAGACACCCAACTCCTTGTGAAAGTAAATGGGAGTTAGGTGCCTGGCTCCCATTTCAGCTTTGAAAATCTCCCCCTTAATATTTTGAAAATAAAAGCGGATGTTTTGGAGCATAATCATATAGCAACTTGAAAAAAAAGAGCATAGATGCAGTTATTCATGAGGCCACAATCACATGGTACCCAGGCCTGTGCTCAAAGGAGCAATTTGAATCATTTAATCGCTTGCTCCACTAATGAAATAATTTAGGTAGGGATTTTCCAAGGGAGTTTGGCACCCATTAATTTACCCCCACTTAAAAAACCCAGCTGTAGTTTGTTATCTCTTGAGATGAGTGCTATTCCCTAGAGAAGAGTACCCAAGTTTGTTGGTCTTATTCAGTAAAAAAGAGCATAAATTTCTCACTGGTTTTATTAGGGTTATTCCTGTCTTGACTCATATGTTGAAATAAAGCATCTGTTAATTGGATAAGAATTGACATCTCCTGGAGACAACTGTAAAAAGAAGTTACCCATCAAATATGTTGCTGTAGTGACTTGCTTTGCATAACCTTACCTTGGGGAGTACAGGACACTTCATCACTTGCTAGTACGTAACCCTCTGCACAAAAGCATTGTCGTATCATGGTTGGACTGTCAATGCAATAATGTTCACAGTGACCATTTTCATTACTGCACGTCGGTTTGTCAATCAGACCTAAATACGTGAAAAGACCACATTAGTTCCTGAATGTGGTGTCTTGTGTTTAACTCGAGTCAATTATGTTCGTAAATTTTGACCAAGAGTGACCTGCAACTCAGTAATGTTGATATATTGATAGAGAAAGCTGCTTCTGGTAGGCAAATATTAATGACAGAGCTGTACAGAACTGGGAACTAAATACCCCGGCACAAATTAAAGAGATTAAAAAATGCACCAAAAATCAGACAGTGATTGCCATTCAAAATAATTAGCATTTGTCAACAGTTACCACAATATGGTATCTGAGATAGAGCAATACTCACAATAATTAGAATAGCATATCACTGCGGTAACCATATGGTAACTGTTGTCAAATATGTCTATTTAAAAATCATAACCACGGTATTCCTTTCACCCACAGCAGTGCACTGGGAAGGCCATAGGATAATCCACTGCAGACCTTTCTTCTGGAGAAAAGACATGTCTGAATGGTCAGTAATTCAAGCTGTCTGAATGGCTGAACATTTATGGGTGTTTTGGAATAATTATTATTTATCCAGTACTTTGAATTGTACCTGCCCCAGAGACACGAGCTGTTACCATGTGGGACAAACAAACAGAATAAGTATGGAGGGTTGTGTGGATATTCTAGATGGGAAACACTAGTGAATAGGTTGGTTTTCACAAGTTATTTAAAAGGGGCGGAGAAGGAACCTTGCAAATATTGACTAAGAGGCTGTTCTAGAGTGGGACAGCATGAAAAGGTGGCAAAAAAAGTTAGAACTGGGCAAAGAAGACAGAGCTAGTGGTCAGAAGAGAAGCATGAGCAGGAACAGGAAATGGGAAGGGTTGTAAGAGGTGAGAGTAATATAGGCTGGACTGGCATCATGGATGCCTTATTACAGATGCTTAACGGTAGTTAAAGCCACTAGTTAGGCAACCCATTTAGATCGGACAAGCTACTGATCCTCCTTTGGGCCTACACTGTACTTATGTACTAAATTTAATAGTCCGTATATAGAGCTAGATCAAATGCTCATTGAAATCAATGGAAAGACTCCCACTGATGTCACCAGGCATTGGATCTGGCCCATTGTTCTTTAATGAAGGTGTAGGCAAGGACTGTTTTCATGTGCATGTATTTACACACTGTGACCATCTATAATATCATGGTCACCTCTTTTACAATTATGATAAATCTTATACAAAGTATGCCTTGTGAGGTATCACTGGAAAATCATAATCTGCTGACCATTACTGTCCTGTTGAACTGTATGCATCATCATTGTATATGATGTTATGAGATTTTGCTACATGTTTGCTACTGAAACATGTTGAGAGTCTGGGAAATGTCCACAGACTAGCCCCTCAGAGAGGACAAAGAAACTGCAAACACAGAGGCCTTACATGCCAAATCTCAGGTAAACAAAAAGGTGCAAACAAAAATTTGCAATTCATAATGAAGGATGGTCAGCAGCACACCTACACCATAAGGGCTACCTAAAGCCTGGGAGGGAGGGGGAGCAGCGGCGCGCGAATCAGCTGTTTCGCGTGCCGCGGCTGCTCGGGATCTCGCCCTCCCTCCCAGGTTTGAGAGCCTGGGAGGGAGGGGAAGCAGCGGTGTGCGAATCAGCTGTTTCGCGCGCCGTGGGGGGCGAGCGTCAGCAGCAGCGGAGGTGAGCTAGGACGGCTGGGGCACATTTTTAGGGGCGGCAGGGGCGGCATTCTGGCGCCGGCCATGCCGCCCCTAAAAATGTGCCGCCCCAAGCACAGCTTGTTTTGCTGATGCCTAGAGCCGGCCCTGGTAGCCATATTAGTCTGGATCTGAAAAAAGCAACAAAGAGTCCTGTGGCACCTTATAGACTAACAGACGTGTTGGAGCATAAGCTTTGTGGGTGAATACCCACTTCATCAGATGCATGTAGTGGAAATTTCCCAGGGAGGTATAAATATGCAGGCAAGAATCAGTCTAGAGATAACGAGGTTAGTTCAATGAGGGAGGATGAGGCCCTCTTCTAGCAGTTGAGGTGTGAACACCAAGGAGGAGAAACTGCTAGTTGGCGAGCCCTTCACAGTCTTTGTTTAATCCTGAGTTGATGGTCATTTGCAAATATGACACCACATTTCTAAGCCAAAGGGTTACCATAATTCAGTTAGAAAAATGCCCCTTTTCTCTCAGGTGGTTGAGAAAGTGAACTTAGAAGATCTACACTAATGATTATGTGGCTACTATGTAGAGTGACTGCAATACCTGTTTGCTGAATGCTTTATCAAACATAAAAAGCAACAGAGGGTCCTGTGGCACCTTTAAGACTAACAGAAGTATTGGGAGCATAAGCTTTCGTGGGTAAGAACCTCACTTCTCCAGATGCAAGTGAGGTT